AAAAAAAAAAAAAAAAAAATTCAGTGGGCTCCCATAAGTGGGGTCTGGGAGGGTAGTGTGTACGCAGAATTTACCCTATCCTGGAAGCACAGAAAGACTATTTTCAATAGACCCTCGGCTAAAAATATATTATCAACAACTAACAAATATAGTTTTGTCAAGAATTAAAAACTTGTAAGCCAAACTGTTGTAAAACTTAAGTTTATCAATTCACCAAACAAATACGCAATGTTTGCTTGACTGAATATCACATGTGATGAACTTGAAACTTCACCTGGACGAGCATTGACAGATCTCTACTGCCATTCATAGTTTAAGCTGATAGTTACACCTTTGCAATACTCAACAAGATTTCAGTATATCAAACGTACATTTCCTGGTTACTTTACGTAGATCGATTGAAGATATAGGTAGCTCTTCAACTGCAGTTGCTCTGTGTCTTTCAGTTAACTTTAATTGAGGTTTTCGCAGTGCTGATGACAAGCGTAAAAGGTTATGCACATTGAAACAGATTTTAGAGTATTTCTGCTTGTGATTTACTGAGCAATCAATTATATTATCTATTTATTATTTATTACTCAACATCCTTACACTTGTGGGATTACTGGTTTATTTGTTGCTTTATACAAATGATTATTCCATACAATTTACACTTAAACTTGCCTCAATAGACAGTAGCCAGAAAAATTATATTTTGATAACATAAAGCAATAAGCTTCAAAAACCCAAAAAGACATTGACTTGAATGAAGATTTAAAAAATGATAAAGATAACAGAAATGCACCTTCAGAGCTCATCAATGAGAGCAGAAACAACAGCTACAAAGCTCCAATCACCATTAAACCCAAATGAAAACAGTTCAAAGGGGTTACCAATTTGATTTTCAAATTGAAAAATAGTGTAATGTGATAATGAATAGTGCAAAATTCAATATAAAAGGACTAGAAAGTTGAAAATGTCTAAAGATTTTGGTTTGTGGAGTAGGGGAGGAAGAAGAATAAAGTCTTGGAAGTTTCCAATATGATGACGTGGATAAGTTGCAGGCCTAGAAGGGGCCACGTAGGACTAGATTATTCCATGTCAGCCGAGAGTATTCTGATGACATGGACAAAATCTAGGGGGCAAAGTGCACCGGTAGTTAGGTGTTTAAAATATATTCGTAATTTATATAATATATTTAAAAATATGCCAATTCATCTAAATTTCAATATCAAGTATTCTAAATTTTTGAACTGCTAATTTGAAGCTCAAAATTAGTGTCCCAAATTTTTGAACTACTAATTTAAAATTTAGGACACTCTTGAACTGCTAATTTAAAATTCATTACATAAAATTTAAATTTTTAGACATAATTTTTGAACTTTAGTATACGATGTCCTGAAGTTTAAATTTTAAGATTTAAATTTCAGAATATCATATCCTAAAATTTAAACAAATTGATTAATTTTTAAATATATTTTAAATAACATATTTAAAAATGGACATCGTTTACACATATCTAAAGGCATGAACTTATGGGCTTGAACTTAATCGTAACAGATTTAGGAGCGGGACACGTGGGGACTTCTGAGTTGTTTTCGCTATTATGTTTAAAAAAGGAAGGGAAACGTGGATTTCACGGACGTTAAGTTTTCCGAGTATAGAGGTCGCCATCTCAGCTCCTAAAGGCTAAAACCATGTAAACAAATGAAAAGATGGTCGTGAAGGCGTTATAAATTAACGTGAAATGAGACAAAGCCCTTAAATAATTGCAGTTGCCTACTAATGTGTTGTCATGTGGTTAAGTAGAAATGTAATAAAGGAATATCTCTGTAGACAAGGTTTTGGTCATCAAATTAGTCACTTGTCAAAGCCAAAGTCAAAGAGTTTTTATAAAAAACTCAAGATTTCCAACTTTTTATTTTTTATTATTCGGTATTCAAAATTCACTAAATCAAGGACTCAGAATACGCATGAAAAAATATTCACAAATAGCCACTTTGTCGCTCTATAATTAAAAATAGCTATTATAGAATTTCAAATTTCACAAGTAAAATTCAATTATATAATACATCCTGAAGTTTTATTTATGAAATTTGAAATTATATGACAATAACTATTTTTTAAATGCATGGCCGAGAAATGGCCAGCGGACGCTATGTCTATGAATAGGTGTTCGAGTAGAGTCGGTAATTCACATGTAAAGCGCCCTCTACGTGAAATTTTTTATTCTCAGTAGTCGAACTTAAGACATAAGATTTTTAACCTTTGAATTGAATACAAAAAATAAAAATCTTTGTCACAATTAAGCATAAATCTTTAACAAAAAATTAATGTTAATTGTTGCTTCAAATGTATTATTACCCTTGAATTAGTGCTGGCCTACCATTGATGAATATGTTTGGTAATGAGTTAACATCTCCAAAAGATACTATCTTATCTAGTTATTGCTTTAATTATTAACTTAAGACTTTCCTAATTCATGTGATTTTCTAGATTCTTCCTTTCTTACACTTCCTTTTCATTTTTTGGCTTAATTAGACACGTTTCCTTTCTAGATTCAATGGTTGGCATTATTAGTAATGTTCTCGCAAAGCCAACAACTAAAGTTATACAATGCCACATTTTTTTTTAATTTTCCCATTATCTGGGGTGTTGTATTAATTAAAAGTTGATTCTCATTAGTATAACACAAAGATAAAGATTACCCTTCAAAAGATTTGGCGAGGTGATAATATAATACAAGTTCACCTGCCACCACAAATAACAATCCTAGCTTACAAAAAAATTAGCCTTGTCATATTTGATTCTAATACTCAGTATTTGACTTTTGTCCAGGTGAAAGGGGCCCTTAACACCCTTTGGAAGTTGCTCACCGGAGAAGTTGTAATTTCCGGTCTGAGTTTTGGCAGCCAATTTTGCTAAACAGTCAGCTAGTTGGCTGGTTTCTCTGTAGCAATGGTTGATATATATATATATTTGCCTTGTACCTCATATGTACCATCTTATCACTTATATGATCCATCCTATAATTAGTCTCCTTCTTCTCCCTTAGAATATCAGCTAACAAGAGTGAATCTATCTCTAAAGTGAAAGTTGTATAACCATTTTATATACACCAGGTCATTGCAAAAAGTGCTGCATAAGCTTCTGCAAGAGTGTGATTGTTGCAACTATAGGGGAATGAGAATGCCATGATAATGTCGCCGTTGTGTTTCCTCAATGCACCTCCCAATCCAGCTCTCCCATCATTCTTGTTAAAACTTCCATTTGTGCTTAGCTTGAAGGTTCTGATCTCTGGTTTTTGCCATTGCACTACAATGCAATCTTTTTGGGGTGCATCCTTACTAGAGTGTCGCAAAAATTATTCCAAGGCAACTTGAGATTACAATTAGGATAAGCCTTGTTGATTGCAGTTTCCACATTCCAACTGATTTGTTGCTTCAACTTATAGCAGTTGAATTTCTTTTGATTTCCATACATGTAAGCACAAGTTTTTTTTCACAGTACCCAACATATGATTATAGGAGTAATACTTAACACTAATTTATGTATATCATTAACGGACTTAGTTTGCCACCAGGTATGTAACATATATCTAATAGGGTGGGGGTGATAGTTAATTTCAAGTTGAGAGCCAAAAAGGGTTGCCTATCCTTCTATGAAAACATGGTGCATATTTTCATAGGCAGGATTCTCACAGCAGTTACACCTCGAAACAATCTGTCTCCCAAACCTAGAAATAACTTCATCAAAGGGGAGCTTGCATTTCCATAGTCTCCAAACCAGGAATGACATATTAAAAGGAATACAAGAATGCCAAATCTTACCAATGTGTTGTTGTTTAAGTCTAGAATTTCTTACCAGATGCCAAGCTGTCTTGTTGAAGTATTTACCATTCTCCATAAGGTCCCAATAAATCTTATCCTCTTTGTCTTGATTTCCAATATCATTTTTTAGGATATGATTTTTCAGATGATCTCGAAGGACATTTTTCAGCTTTCTAACATCCCACCTGCTTTCAGTGATGAATTCACACACCAAAGTTTTATGGCTCCTCCTAGTGTTAGTAACTAAACTTGCAAGATGGCCTTTTAAGGTCTAATTATCCCACCAAAATCTGCTTGAGCCTGAATTGATTTGCCATACCATATGCTTTTCTGCAATGTTTTTTATACTAAGAACATGCTCCCAGGCATGGAAATTCCCAGTAGCCCATTGTTTCGAAACCAAATGAGATATAATGCAATATTTATGTCTAACATATGTTGCCCATAGAGATGATGTGGACCTGATCCTTCACCGCCTTTTCATAGCCAACATGTCACTGATTTCTTCCATCTTTCTAATACCAATGCCTCCCTCATATGTAGGCACAATGAGATTATTCGAGGAACTCCAATGTTACTTTTTACGCTTAATAGAGTTACCCCAGAAAAAAATTAGCAAAATATTTTTCAATTAATTTTAAAGTAGTTTTAGGGAGGGACATAGCAGATAATGTATAAGTGGACAAATATTGAAGGACACTTTTAATCAACACATATTTACCACTATAAGACAAAAGCTTACCTTGCCAACCATTGATCCTTTTCACTATCTTACTAATCAATATGTCAAAATATTCAATCCTTTTTCTACCCACATATAGAGGACAACCAAGGTAATTAAAAGGAAAATTCTTATCCATAAAATCATAGCACTCCCTTATTCTATTAATCCTGCCAGCTGCAGTCTTAGAAGATGTGAGGAAAAACTCTTGTCTATGTTAACCAATTGACCAGAGCTTTTCTCATAGTTACCAATTTTCTTCATACCAAGATTAATATATATGGAATTACCATTACAGAAAATAACAATATCATCTACATAGGCTAAATGGTTAATTTTGAGGACCTTATCATGCATAGAAAAAGGGTTAAAATCAGGATGATTATACAAATTATTAAGAGACCTGAAAAGAACCTCAGCAGTCATAATGAACGAAGAAGGGGAAAGGGGATCACCTTGTTTAAGACCTTGAGAGGAAGAGAAAAACCCTTGCCTAGATCCATTAATAATGATCGAATACCAAACATTCAAAATCAAATTATGAACCATGTCTATCCAGTATTTAGAGAATCCAAATTTACTTAACACAAAATAAACAAAAGGCCATACCATTCTATCATAAGCCTTAGCCATATCAAACTTAATAACAACATTACCTCGTTCTTATCAGTAATCTTGTGAATAATTTCTTGAGCAAGTAAAATATTTTCGGAGATTAGTCTATCCTTCACAAAACCACTTTGATTAGGAGAAACTAATTTGTGCAAGAGTGGGTTTAATCTTAAATAAATAATTTTAGAGATGATTTTGTTAGAAAAGTTAGAAAGACTAACTAGTCTAAAATCAGAAAAACAAGAAGGAGTATCAATTTTGGGAATCAAAACTTAGCAAGTATGTGAGAACAATTTAGTCAAACTTTTTCCTTTGAAAAACTCCAGAACAAATGCAATGACCTTCTCTTTGATAATATCCCAACAATTATAGAAAAATGCTCCATTATATCCGTCAAGTCCCGCTGTGCTAAAAGCACTCAGGCTCAATGCAATATTTTTTATTTCAGCTTCATCGGGAATCTTATTGAGAATTAAGTTATCCTCCTCAATAATGCAATTAAGAATACACTCTAAAATAGCGGGGTTGAGGTTAGGAGTTGGTAAGTTGAACTGGGAATTGAAGTGCCTGACTGCAGCTTTGAAGATCTTTTCATCACCCATAATCCATTTACCCTTATGATTCTTGATTCTATTTACTTGTTGCTTTCTCCTTTTTTTACCTGAGAATACAGTGAAAGTATCTGGTATTACTATCACCATCTTCAAACCATTTGATCCTAGATTTCTATTTGAGAA